AATTCAAGCAGTTTGGGAGAGAGAAAAGCCATCTTTCAAAGAGAGTTCAATTGTGTACCTATTAGACTGAAGCTCTGATTTCAAGATGTTATATAGTTCTAGAAAATCAATGACTGCATAGCATAGTGGGCTTGATAAACCTTATCAATCCTCTCACAGCCCTGCAACCCACTGGGAAAAAACAAAAAGAGCCATATTTTTCCATTAGAATAGAAGCAGATTATACATCATCAAACTCTGTTTTAGGTCTTCCAGGTTTTATTTTTGTGACTTAAAGGCTTGCCACAGCTCCAGCTGAAATGAAGTTTTCCTCTCAACAGAAAGTGGACAGAGCTGTAGCTGTAGAAGTTTAAGGACATTATTTTTACAACTGACTGCTGATTTTTGAAAATTGCATAATTTGGATGCCAGTCTTGAGACACACAAGGGTGCTTCCATTTTCAAAAGATGCTGAGCATTTGACTACTGATTGTCTCAAAACCTGGACACCCCAAACTGCTGGTTTTTGAGTGAAGTGCTCACCATTTATAGTTGAATGACTGAAAATGCTGTCTTTTGGGGATACTGTAATTAATTTCACTTGTTTGGATTTCATTTGGTAAAGCCAATGGTAGTTTCTAGCAGTACCTACAGATCCAGTGTGAATGATCAGGTATTGAAAAATATGTGTATTTCCAATACACCCAACAAGTGGAGAAAACAGTGAACCATCAAAAAATGGCTCACAAGAGAGTGACTTGTGCTGTAGTTCTGAAAGAAAGCATGGGCTCTTGTGCTTCAGGGGTTCTTGGTCCCAAAACTCAGTCTCCTTTCTCCTAGCTATGCTTGCTATGGAGGAAAATCCATGATACACACATTGGTGCCTCTGAGGAGGAAAAGAGTGTCCACCACAAGACTGTATTCATTCCCAAAATGAAAATGTAATGTCCTGTCTTTCCACTTGTTGCTCTTGTTTGAAAGAAGCTCACTCTCTTCACATCACACTAAAACTACTGGGCAAAGTCCTTTCTTGGGATGCTGGCTGGTGAGAGCAGACAGAGGACAGAGTCACTGGTAGGAGCTAAGAGAAACTAAATTCCTGGAAGCCTAAGTGAAGGAATTAAATTTCCACAGTGCTCCAGCTTAACTTCCTTTGCCAGCCTGGGGACTACACCTTTCAGGGAGTGGAGCCCCATCCTCTGCTCCTCGTACCAGATGCTCCCCACACCTCTCAGTTCCTCCCAGGCCATCAGTTAGAGGGGGGACTTGGCCTCCATCAATGTCAAGACTGCTGTAAGTACATGTCCTTGTAGAGGAGGCAGTGCCCTTTGGAGTGCTCATGGTAGACCTGGCCATAACATGCTCTGTTTGCGTTCAACCTGTTTTCTTGCTCCACACTATCCATTCCGGCAAAACCTGACCTGTTCTGGGAGTCTCTGGGCAAACCACTGTCATCAAACATTAAGTTCACGTGCTCCTGTAAAGTTCACATGTCCAGGTACTGGCTGTTGTATTTCACCGCGGGGGACAGCAGGGCCTGGGGGCTGTCATCTCCATCACAGGTCTTCCTCATCAGAAAGGGAAATGTAGTCAGCGTTGCGAGAGCAGGCACCAGACATCCCAGCCTTACTGAGGACATTAAGCTTCTCCCTGAGCCTCCTGGTGGAAGAACTGAAGGTGCTGCTGGTGATGCAACAACCGGCACCAGCATTTTTGGGGATCCTGTCCAGGTCCCATCTGATAGTGTGGAGGGATGTGGCTAAAAAGTCAGACCCGTCTGTTTTCCCTTTTTGAGCTTCGATGCTGGGATCTGGAGCACAGGGAAGGGGAAAGAGATATCAAAGTGCTTATGGGAAGGAAATGTGTAGCAGGTGGGGAAGACATGTTTAGGGCCTGTCCATGCTCTGTCTGAAGGAACCTACAGCAGGTTCCACGTTTGTTTCTGGGCAGCCTTAGAGTCTTGGGAAGAGACTACATGTTTACCTAAGCAAAAGAGGTAGATGGAATGAAACCCCATGGTGCAAGAACACTCAGACAGACAGATGTGGAGCAAGGATGCTCAGATGCATTTCACTAGCCAGCACCACTTTTGCACAAGCTGTAGAAACCCAGATTCAGAAGAAAGGAGCCAAATTCCTGGCTTTTTTTGAAGTGAATGAGGGTTTCAGTCACACTGAGGTGTGACTGTCTGCAAATGTGCGACCTACCGCTTGGGTGTAATACTCTACTTCTGCAGCAACCTGTCACATACGGAATCTTTTCAAGCAAAGGAGGAGAAAGAAGGAAGAAAAGGAGAAGCAGTAGCAGCCTCTTCTTTTGGCCATGAGATGTCAGTATTGCAGTCAGGCAGCTTTAACTTGCCGGTATCTTAGACTAACCCAACACAGAAACTTGGTTATGAAAATGTGAGTGCGGCTTTTTTCCTTTGGCGCTCAGCCACAGTCCTGATTTTTGGTTTGTACACTGATTTTGCTGTGAGTTCAGCTGTGGAGAAATATCCTGAAATGCTCTGAATTGTACTGGCTTGCTCTGGGAGCAGAAATCATGCAAACAGTATGTCCTTAGTGTAAAAGCAGAAAGTCTTGTCACACGGGGCATGAGGCCAAGGTTGTGTACAAGTCTTATCTACAAGGAAATCTTTAGTATCATCCTGGTTTTCCAAGCTACTGTCTCCACCATAAAGGCAATGGGGTGTGAGTTATAAAACGTTACAGCTTTATTAACAGAAAGGTCCAAGACAAAACTTGGAAGGTTCCCCAGGACCACAAGAACTTAAAGAAGGCGGAAACCCCATTTCTTTCCAAACTTTATAATAACTTCATTTGACTGGGGGACTGGCCTCCACCACTGAAAAAACAGTATTTTGCTGTTTTCTGACCTTAGTGATGTCCATGTAATCTCTGAGTCCTTTAGTCAGGCACCAGTATCTCAACACGTTGAGAGCACAGAGGGTGGCCTTGGTGGTGCTGGGGTTCACAGCACTGATACTCAGGTACTTGAGTTCATCATCAAAAGTAAACACGGGAAACTTGCTGAGCTTAGTTGAATACACTGGAAAACAAATGAAAAAATGGGGATAAAATAGCTTGTCCTAGTAACATGATGCCATTTCTGGCTAAGAGCAACTCAGTGTTTTTCACAAAATGTGAGGAATTTAAGGAAGATGAAACACAGCTCTTTCCTGATGATTTCCCATGACTCTGTGCACTGAAAACTCAGATGCAGCAGGAGGAACAGCAATACGAAGTCACCCTAATGTTGCCACAAAGCTAAAAATGTACTGCCACACATGGCACAAAATGTAGGGTCAGCAATAGATAAGGAGTAACACAGCATCTTTTACCTTGCTGCAGAAACAGTGGGGGGAGGGGGGGGTGACAAAGGCAAAGGTTTTTCCTTTGTTAGTCAACTCAGAAGCAGGGGAAGTATTTGTCCTATTCCTATACAGCCTGGCTCTGTGCTGCCACGATGACACACCACCACGGATGTCTGTGCAAGCTACACAGGCAATGCTAATCAAGCAGGATTCTCCACTCATATCCACCTCTACTCCCTGTCAGGCACAGCAGAATCAGGCCCTGCTGCTTCAGTGGACCAAATGCAGGTGCACCTTGATGGATACCATGAGTTAAGCGAAGACACGCAGCGTTCATTTCTTAAAAGGAGAGCCTCAGCCACACAGGCAGGCACTGAAAGTAGAGGATTGATGGACAACCTTTTTATAGATGTACAGACACTTAATATTCTTTATGAAAGAGTAATATATTTTTATGATGCCACTATAATTTTATTATATCCACTATAAGCTTACTTCTTACAGCACTGCAGCTAATGGATTTTGCAGCCCAGTGCATGTTAGCTGTGAAAGGTTGTTCTGAACATCCATGCACTGAGCTAGTGATCCCCACGGTCACCATCTCACCGCATCAGGAAAAGGGAAAAGGTGGTACACTCCAGGGAGATGTTGGATTTCCTGCTAACCTTCCATTCTGCAGCCCCAGCGCAGTGTTACTGCAGCCCCAGTACTGCAGCCCCACCTGCACACTAGGGAGAGGTGATTTTAAGAAGAGGTTTTTATTGTGGCAGATTTTGCAGTTAATATAGTCTATAAAAGGTAAAGGGACTGAATAAACCTAACTGAAGAACCCACTGCAAGCAAAAGAAGCTCACAGTGCTGGCTCACCCAAGGACTTCTTCCGAGAGAACCAAGAGCATTTGGGAAACAGCCTACTAAAATCAAGAGCCTAACCATACAGTGCTAGTTGCCCTGGAAGACGTAACAGCAACAGCCACACTTAAGTTCTCATACTGCAATTAATCCTACATTTTTTAATTAACTTCTGACAGGCTTTGGTGTGAAAATTATGCTGGCCATTTCTTGAATCACAGTATCACTCCCACGATCTATTGAACCACAAGAAAAGACAGAGACTAAGATGGCTTGTGGCTTTCCAAGGCAGGGTTTATCACGTGCTAGGAAATTAAGTTATAGTTCCTGGTTTCTCCAAATTCCAGATTTTCAAAGCAGGCATCTGGTTTGAGCTGACCTCTGATACTTGACAGTGCTAACACTAACAGCATTTTATCAGTGCTGCTTCAGCCCTGACTGGGACAGTGAGTCAAGTGCTGCACCAGAACAGGATACACAGATGGCTGTCCAGGGGTGTTTCATACCTTATGCATGGTGTTTCCCACTAAAGTCTGTATCACTTTTTCCTTTTCTTCTCACTAGACTCTTTGTCCTCATAAACTCAGGGACTACAGAAATTGGCGTAAGTTGCTCTAAAAGAAAGTGTAGCCAGATAAGAAAGCGAGGGCTACTGTGAGCAGTGTATTGTGACAGCTTTAATACTTGTGGCAAAGGAGTCTTAGCATAACATAATAAAAATGAAATAAAACCATGGCAGGCATTTATCAGCTACCATCTGTAAGGGTGTTCTATCATCAGAAGGCTGGAACAAGAACTACCCAATTTTCCACTCCCGCAGGAAACAGATAATCCTTGCCTAATTATTTATTTATTTGTTTATTTTCTAATCAACATAATGAATACTTGCTTTCTTTTGTCCATGAGAAAACAGTTTAACCCTTTTATTCTCAAACAGTGTGAAGTTGTCCTGAAGAAGGCTGGGATCTTGCTTCAAAAGCACACCAGTGCATGGGCTCTGAGGGCACTCACATCCTGCTTTCCTTGCTGACTTCAGCGGCTGCATACCAAACCACAAAGCTCTTGGCCTGACATCAGTTGTCAGCAGCCCGACGATGCTCTAGGAATTTTGAATTGTGTCTGAACACCTCGTGGTGTGCTCGATAGAGGTGTTGGGACAGTGCCAGAGACACTAACAAAACCTACAGCCTTGCCAGGAGTTCTCACTGGGACCTGTCAGACGGGATTTGGAAAAGCATTAAGCAGCCAGGAACACACACCCCATATCCAGAAGGGCCTTGCAAAAACTGGTGCTCTGGGTTATAATCACAGCAACACTTGCAGGTTCTGGATCAAGTCCCATGAGACAGCCTTTTCATGTGTGCAGCTCACAAGCTGTTTGTGAAAGCAAGCAAGTCCTGACTCCGTCCTGCTGCAGGTACACTGTAACTAACAAACGTGGAGGAGATCTTGCACTTAAGTCGCAGGTCTTGTTCCCTCACCCTTACGATGTCTTTTGCCTTCCTCTTCCTGGAGGTCACCCGGGGGCTTACTTTCAAACAACACTTCAGGGACTTCAGGCTAGGTGTTAGAATACACAGCACTCGAACAGCTCAATAATAATGATGGTTCCTTCGAAAAAGCCATCTTTGTGTTCAGTTCACCTGATGGCACTCTGCAAAATCACACACGAAAAGGCCATCTGTGCAGGCACAGGCTCTCTTGCCAAACTTCTGTCACTGAGGTGGTACATCATACAGGAAAAGAACAGTTATATCTCTCACTGCTTGCCAAAACATGCACACACCCTACATCTATACAGACAACTGTGCATGCAGCTCTGATGGTTTGTAGGTGCTCCATGCCAGACTTTTTAAGTTGAAATGCACATGGTAAATGTCTAGACACCTACTGCTCTGCTCCATGATGAGGCCAGGGGTTGCACTCTGTGTGTGTTTGGTGAGGGAAGAAGAGGCACATTGCCAGATGAGTTAGTAACATGTCATAAAAACTCATGAGGTCTCAGCTGATTACCTCTCTGCATTCTTCCCCTAAAGCAAAGGCAGCTCCTTACATACCACTTGCTGCTCTTCATGCTGCAAATGAGCAGTCACCGCCTCAGTGGCACTCCATCAGAAAAGCTGGGGACTGTATTCATCTTCCCTCTATGCAACATACTAATCCCCCCACTCATCTACCTTAAAGAAAATAAAGACCTCTGCTGTATCTGGAAGTTCGTAAGATCCACAGATTCCACTCGTCTTTAACTGGCCTTTACTCATTTCTGTGCTAGCCCATATGTGATAATGCTCACATGTAATACAGGCTCATGGCAGATCCCACTGTTGTCCAGAAAGAGCAGGCTTTTCGGTGCTGTTGGGAGCCACCCAGCTCACACAAGGTGGCTTGCAGGCACCAGGCGTCTGGTTCAGCACCCCTGTAGCCTGACTGATTCCTGTCTGCTGAGCAGTTTGGTGGCCTCATTTTACCACTGTGCAACCAGTCCCTCTTCCAGAAGGGGCTCCAGACCCAGGAGCCTGAAGGATACAGATAATGTGGAAAGGCACCTCCATAAGCAGATGGCATTGCAGAAATGTCTGGCTTTGCAGGATGGGCAATGCTTGTCTGCTCAACAGTTTCCTCAGGTTACCCTCTGCGCATGAGAACATCTGGCCGTGCCAAGCCTCCAAGAAGGTTTCTGAGTGTCCCTCACCAAGATGCGCGGAAATGTCCTTCCAAATGCTGATGAATGGCATCATCTTGTATTAGCGGGCTAATGGCTCCATGGCCAGCATCATCCTATCTCCTCAACACTCAGTGCTTCTGCCTGCCTTTCCCTGGGTGTACATTCGAAGGAGTTTTTTTCTCCAGTCCTGTTCTGTTTACCATTATTGCATGGGACAAGAATAACTACACGTGTTGTATTTGCAAGTACCCAAGGAACTCTGAGGTGAATAATCTACATGAAGGCCTTTGTCTTCAAGCTCTTCCAGGTGTCGTTTCCTCACATCTTTCAGTGGATGGTAAGAATGATCATGTGCTGCCAGCCCTGTATGTGCATTCTCTTCCTGGTACCCGTGGGAATTCGGCCCTTATAACAAAGTGTCCGTATAAAAATGGACATACCCATATTACATATAGCCATCTCAATTTTTTTTAATTATTCAATTAAAACTATTCAATGATATCAATTGTGAAGTTCATAACATAATAAGCCATTAGGCTACACTACAAAGAAATTCTACTGATCTTTCCAAGGATAGGTACCGATTTCCTCTTGGCTTTGGTGTATATTACCAAGCAAATTACCAGTGAGTTAGAGACCTCACTTTGCCATCCCCAAAGCCTGTCTGAAGAGGCAACATGCCATAATGTCCCCAAGCCCAAGCAACTTTCGCATCAGTTGCAGTCATGATATTCTTCAGCAATATGTTGAGCACAATGTCCAGCTGTAGTCAGCACCAATCAGGAGGCTCTATTCCATTTGTGAGGTTATCCTGGGGAAACACTCCAGATTGCCTGAGCCAAATTCCTCAGTGCTGTTTGCCTGGCTACCCAGAAGGCCTGAAACCTCCAAGACTGCTCACAACATGTGTATGCTGCTGCTGGTCATCCTTGGCTATGAAAGAAGGAGGAAAGGACATGCAGCCATCCCACAAGCTGTGCAGCACGGTGGTTCTTAAAGTGGCAACCTGGGTAAAATTTGGTGTGCAAAGGGAAAAGTGAAAGCTGCTCAGTTGGCAGAAGTCCAACAATTTGCTTAGCTGAACCTGCATTAACCACTAAAACCCACATGCATACTCCCTTTTAGACCAAATAAAAAGAACATAAATTTCAACCCATCTGAAGACAACTTTAACCATGTAAACCAACAGGTTTACTTTGCATTTGCGACAGCAAAAGC